TTAGATTGGCCCCTGTTTTTGTCGTAATTTAACAAGTTTTTTCCTGTAGTGTTGCTCAGGGTTTTTTTTTTTTTTTGCTGATTACCACTTCGTTCCCAGGCATGTGATTATTGAAAACAAAAATAAAACGAATGTTTGGATAACTGCAAGAGGAGGGGAGATTGTGAGAGTTTGCAGACCTGTGAATTTCCGTAGTGTGTAGTTAGAGGGCTGAGAGGGAGCAGCTGACAGGAAAAGCAGAGGAAATATGCAAGTTGAAAACATAACAAACAAGCATAATGTCTGGACGGAGATTGGGGAGTGTGGGAGCTAAGGTGGAAAGAGTCTGATGAGGTGTGAAATTTGACTGAGGCATGTGTATATGTGTGAGGAAGGTATGTGCCCTAAACAATACTGCTATCATTTACTTTTGATGGGAAAGTCCAAGCAATCAGTAACATTTCCCTTTATGATGTAAATACAGTATGGTCCACAGTAACAGGTTCTATTACTCCTTACAACCATTTCCATAAAAAAAACCATGCCTTTCTCACACTAATTCATACATGTCTCACTCGTGCCACCTACATTAGTCACCACAGAGTATATTTGCAAAAGACTGAGAGCTATAGCACCTCTTACTGCCTCACAGTGTGGACTCAGGAAGCAAACTGGCCTTATCGGGGCCAGACACACAAAGCTGTCCTGGCTGTGGCGTGGTGAGGTATGTGCAAGTGCGTGTGTGCATGCGCATCTGTGTGTATACATGTGGAGGGGGGAGGCGGTGGGAGGCACTTCCTCCTATTCTTCTGCTGTTGAAGAGTTCCCATGAGCACCCCTGCCAGGAGCTACAGTGTGGCCTGAGCAGGTCGAGCCAGCACCAGTCTCGCCTACATGACGCCACCACACACTCTCACACAGCTGATCTCAGGCACTACTGCAGCTGCTGCTGTTCAGACCACAGAGCAAGAAGCTGGACAGTTTCTTGTTAGAAATGCAAGAAGAGAAGAGGGAAAAGAAACGATAAAGGACAGAAGAAGAGTAGACTGAACTGAGGAGTGAAGAGGAAAGCATGATGTTGCTGATGAAAGTACAGGTACAGACTCCTGAAAACTTCAATATGGGAATATGCATTGATGACTGGAGGAGGTGTTACTAACCAATGTTGAATGGACAAGAATGCAGCTGGAGGTCATTGGCAGAGTGACTCCAGCACTGCAGAAAGGACTCACCAACAAAACTGAATCTAGAATCATTTGAGAAACATTGAAGAGCAAAGGCAAGTTTGACTGAAAAAGGCTCATTTTTGTTATACTCAACATATTTTTTTTCAGCAAGGTGAGAACCAGCTTTGTTCTATATAGCCATCTCAGTTGGACTGGACTGTCACCTGGAAATCGAACATTTAGGACACTGCAAGACTAATAAACCCACCACAACAACTCTTTGGGCAGCTGTCACTGTTGAGATGATCCATAACACCCTGAAGTCCACCCAGCTGTCCGAGCACAGCCCCAGGAGTACACACTCAGCTGCACAACGGAAGCTGTGGAGGTACTCGGGGTGCAGAAGGGCTGGCCAGGTGGAAAGTCAGCGTCGCAGTGTGTGCGTGTTGGCTGCAGATTTGAACGCTGGAGATGCAGGAGGAGGAAGAGGAGGAGGAGGCACTGTGATGCATACTATCCATGGGCTATGCCATGTCTGCATTGGATGTAGGCTGCCTCAGGTGTGTCTGTTTTACAGAGAGAAAGGGGAGGAAGACAGAAGGGGAAAGATAAAGTGCATCTAATGTACAATATTAACCTGTCACTTGTGAGTGGGATACTGAAACAAAAGTTTAAATTTCCGATTAGTGCTCTCCTAATTAACTTGCAAAATGAAATTATATTACAGGCTAAAAAAGTGGTAGGCCAAATATATATGTATACTCTTTCATATTGTAATATTTTGGCAAAGCTGTTCAGAAGAAAATGCACAGCTGTAACATATCTAATACTAATTGCCTGAAAGTGAATTTAAAAGATGTTTCTCGAGGAGGGAATCCAGCTCTCTGCCCTTTACATTATTTATCCTCCACATAGAGTGAGAAGGAAACGACAGAGGGAGAGAGCAGGAGTAGGCAAATATTTGCTCTGATATGAACCTTATGTAAGCTACCTGTGTACATCAGAGTTGCACACTGAAAAGTAGGAAATTAAATGTGATGAAACAAATTATATATTTAATCTTTAATTGATTGGGGTGGACAGAATATAAAAATGCAGTTTGAATGCTGTATATAGAATAGTCCAAAAAAATGAAGATGCAATCACAGTTTGAGAATATCTGTCAGAGTGGACAAAGGTACAGAACAATACTTAAGTCGTATCTTTGTGTGTGTGTTATGGTTGGTGTGCGTTCCTATTTACTGAACATACTGATAACATTCTCTGACCACGTACATATATTATGTGTGTGCTTTGTAGATTTTATTTGGTTATGTGCACCTCTCTGCAGTTAATATTACTTCTGCTGCAGTGGCAAGTGGATAAGGCATGTAGTTCAATCATTTGATCGAGATTGGCAGGATTTCTGCTCTTGGCCTCATGCAGACATGTCTGAAAGGACAGTGGACCACTGAGGCATGAATGTGAAAAAGGACAAGCTCTGCCGCACATGCATGAAGCATCATGTACACACATGGGCTACTTATGGTTTTATTTCTTTTGGTACATCAAAGAATTTTAGTCAAGTCTTCCACAGTCTCTTTGAATAAATTATTAATTCACCAGTAGTGCCCTGTTTACAATTTTAATATTCATTGCATGCTGGGAACTTTTCTTATTCATTTATCTTATTAAGTAACATGTCCTTTGACGCACTGAAATCACTGAGTCATACTAATTTACTGCATCATTCCCAAATTAATCCTCACTTTTCTGTTCCAGTTTGAAAAGAAATGCTCTGTTTTCATTTAGAGGTTGAAAAGGTGGCATTGGTCTGTTTCGCCTAGGCAGACCAGAGGAAGTCCAAGTGGGTGGATTCCTCTATGCTTACAAATTGAGTTAATGCTGCCCTGGCTCTTGACTACAAATGAATCAGTCCAAATGAGGAAGCTCTGGGAGTTTCTTAAAAGGACATGATGTCTGAAACAGCTTTCGATTAAAAAAAGACAGACATAGATACAGTAGCTAGATACAGAGATATATGAGGCATGGCCAATTGATTTCTCTCACTTCTGTTAATTTTCAAAGTCTTTGCTCTTCTTTATTTTTTTCACATACTAAGTTACGAGCAGATCTTTCAGAATTTTTTATTGCTCTGTTGCCATTTGCCTTAATTCCAGTGAAATGTTTTTTTATTTCTTGGCATCTTTTCCTCTGTCTTTGTCATCTGCTCTCTCACCATCACTTTTTACAATCGCACTGCCCTCACAGCATCATGTTTTGATCTCACTCCACCTACAGCCACTTTCTTGGATTCTGAACATCCTCCTTTTGTGTTTTTGCAGTTTTTCTCTGCCTTTGTAACACAAGCTGGAGAATGATTAGTGTATATCCATCTGTCTCTATACAAAAACATACGTAGAGAGTAGAGCAGTGGCTTTAGCATCTAAAACACCATCTGTACTTTTTGCCATAGTCATAAATGAACACGAGGAGTCCCATGTGCACTTGTGTGTGTCTGTTAGCCTCAGAGGAAGTTCAACTCCACTATCAAAAAGGTTGCCCTGAGATGCTGTATGTTTATATATATATTGTATATGTTATTATATATATGGGCTTCTACAGCCAGTGTTTGTATGTACTGTAAAATTTCTGTAATGCTCACAGCCACTCGGCAACAATTACAAAAACCTTTGTTTGATAAGTAGAGTACATGTGTACAGAAATAGATGACAATCCTGATTTCCTTTGTATGGTGGGTAGCAAAGGGATTCTCTGTAGCATTATGGTAATTTCAGCAGTCTCAGTTTGGAAGTAGACTGAAACATAGACAAATTTAAGGGACTGAGGGGTATGAATATGAATTGTGGTTCAAAACAATGTGACACAGGGCACATAAAATCAGCTGCCTTTAAAAATGTATAACTGTAAATGACATTTCAGGGTCACCATGAGCTTCAGGCCCCTGAATAATCACCATAATTCTCTAAGTCGCTGCATCTTACTTGTGGGCAGACTTTTTAATTTAGCAGCTTATACTGTATTTATAGGTTAGTTTTTTTCTGCTGTACTTAAAAAAGGGAAAAAAGAGAGAAGGGGTGGGGGGTTGTCTGTGTGTTTTGGGGCTCTGGTTGTCAGCAGATGAGATTGGAAAGTGAGATGTTTTGGAGGGAACTTTGTTGACTTTGGCTCAGGCTGTCGGGCACAGGTACTGAATGTTTGACAGTGTGGGGTCAGAGAGAAAGAGAAACAATGGGAAAGGGCTGTCAGCACTGGGGATGTGTAGATCTGGTCAGTTGGATTAGGCAAACACAGTCTTCATGTTGCATTTTTAATAAAATACCAACATTTTGAGACTTACTGAAGTCTGACATTGCTGATTTGATAAGAATAAACCATTTTCATATCTGTGCATGTGCCCACTTGCAGAATTGAATTAAAGCCTTAAATATATTGTATATGGCACACTAGACTGACGGGTTTTGGACAGAGATATTCTGCTTTACAGTATCTTCTTCTTCTCCTTATGAAGAAGCTTACTTTAATATTAAAAATAGAGTGGAATATAAACTCCTTGAAAAAAAAGAGAAACTTTAAGCAACCTTTTGACAGCTACATATTACAAATTCTGTTTATTCTTGTTTCATTTACAGTTATTTCTTAAATGCCTTTGTGCTGTTTGACCTCAAAACTCAATCTCAGTGGGAGTAACCTAGAAAAGTAAATGTTTAAATAGTCTTGACTTAATGTTCACATTTAGTAGCAGCTGTAAGACCCAGCTAAATTCTATAGAACTTGTTTGAATATACACATATGCAGCGTTTCAGCGTCCGTGACAAAAACATTTTGTATGTTGAAATTTTTCTGTTTTTGTGTATGAAAGATGTTTCATTAACCAGTGTTGCAAACTATAGGTGTGAATAAATAAGCAAACTGCTTGTGTAGCATTCAGCATATTTACTTCTTCCCCAAATAACTGACAAAAAATGTCTTTCTTCTGTCTCTTGTTGTTTTTCCCACTATCTCAGTTAACTGGGTTCACCAGGAAACTGCTGTCAAGACAGTTTCAATAGGAAGTAGAAGCAGAATACAAATCTACTTAATCATCCTGTAGGAAGGAAGTTGATTATTTTGCCAGCATGCTACTTTTGGTTCCTCAGGTAGCAGGGGAGAGAGAGAGATTTCCCATTATACCCTATCATAAAACGAGTGTATGTGTTTGTGTTCTGTAGGTGACCATCCTTCGAGGAAAGGACGGGTATGGCTTCACCATCTGCTCGGATTCCCCGGTGAGGGTGCAGGCTGTTGACCCAGGCAAGTTTTACATGAACATGTCCGTGTATATGAAACTCAAATATGCGGGGAGGTCATTTAAATATTGAGCTCTTTACTATTCTGAACTGTTTGTGGACCCAAATTGCTTGAAATTGCTTTTCATTGTAACTTGGAAGCATTTTTATTCAACTACCAAAACCAAAGTCTTACATTTATAAATTCAAAAGCAGCCACACCCAGGGTTATTTAATACTACGACTATATTTGCAAGACTGCCAACTGTAGAGTTCTAGTGTTACTTATGACATGAACTTGGCTGCACATAATTATACAAGGTATTAAGTATATGGACACAAAGCAGGTGACTGTGCTGCTTAAATTAGAAATCATTGATTTTTTTTTACCCCTCTATATTCTATTATAAAGACACTTGACATATGTCAATGGCTTTTTTTTTACTGTAAGTACTGTTTTCACATTGGTTGAATGCAGTTTGATATCTTACATCATGAAATTTTTACGTTAGCTCTGGCTGATTCTTCTTTTTTAAATTCCACTCATCATAACTTTGAGAATTACCATTAGGACTGGTCAGTCAGCAGGGTGTTGCAGTTAATAGGGAACCTACCTGTCAAAAAAGGCAACTTGGAATCAAGCCCCAAGCTGCAGGTTGTCCACCCTGCCGCCGTGCCTTTGAACCAGATGCTGAATTCTAAGTTTATCATATTGTTACTGTTCCTGTGGAGAGACGAAAGGGATGGGAAACAAAATCACATCTCAGAAAACAAGAGTATTTTATCTCTATTGTTATTTTATTGTTTCATCTGTACAGTGATTTTCCATTTGGTAGCTCCAGTTCGGAAGGAACAAGCTTAATATACACTTACCAGTCGCTTTATTAGGTACATCTGTATAATTGTACGCAATTTAGTGCAACATGTCCATCTTAACATTTGTGTTTATGAAGCTCAAAATGCTTTATTTTTTTTGTGAAATTGTCATAAATGTATAAATTCAATTATATGTGTATTATTGAGGTCATAGTTGGAGGTGGTGGTGTACTGGACTACATTATATTTAGAAGTGTCTTTATATTTTTGCTCTCTCCAGCTACATACATGAGAAGGTCAGAATATTAGGAACACCTCTGAATATAATGCAGTCCATTACAACACGACCTTTAACTATGACAAACTGAAACATTTTGAGCTTCATAAACACAGATATTAGGGCAGAAGTGTTGCATTGAATTGTACAGGTGTACCTAATAAAGTGGCTGGTGAGTGTATAAAGGAGTTATATCCCTAGATATAAGAATGACTGGTGCTTGAACATGTGTAATGCTCTTTTTCTGTTTCTTCATGCTGGTAGGGGGTCCAGCAGATCAGGCAGGTCTGCAGCAGCTGGACACTCTCTTGCAGCTGAATGGCCAGCCAGTGGAGCAGTGGAAATGTGTGGACTTAGCTCATGCTATCAGGTAAAGACTCCAAAACCCCAAAAGATTATGGAATGATTCACACCAAAAGCTTATTTGAGACTCAGTACTAGCAATTTGTAATGATTAACTAATAGATACCCTGTTTTCCCCTCATTGACTTGTGACATATATACTTTTATGATGCGGTTAATTTTCACTGACAGAGCAGGTTTACACAGATCTGTTTCTGTGTTCTGGTTTTATTGAGTTATATTATGTGCAAGTGTTAATTGTTTTAGTTTGATTTAGTTTTTCTTTAATATAAAATGCATTGTTTTGGCTTTGCTACACAACTAAAAGTTTTAAATTCTACTTGAAAGACTTTTCAAACAGTTTAGAGATTTTAATTTATGATATTTAGTCAAAGAATTTAGACTCCTCCAGATGTGGTGATCATCACTTTTCTTTCCCTTTGCAGAAACAGTGCCAATGAAATCACTGTGGTGGTCTGGCGCACCGGTTCCTCAGCTAAACCGAATTTTGATGGCCTCATTCACCGGCCATCATACAAGCCCTTCAACTCAAACTACGATGCCCCTTCACCACCTACCCGCAGGCACGCACCAGATGTTGGCACAAGCAAAACTCCCCCGGCTGTGCCGCCTCTACCAGCCCACCACCGTGCCACTGCCACCCGCAGGCTGCTGGTCAATGGCTCTGAAGCTGGAAATAGCAGCGGTGTAGGTTTTGGGACGCTGGCGTGGGGGGCCCAAGGAGGGTCGGCCGAGGAGCTGGATGGGAATCCGAGACACCTCCACCACCCTCACACTGCCACACTAAAGGGTACCAGGGTGAAGGCGTCCAATGGGGACAACTACATCATCCTGGCACCCATCAACTCTGGAAGCCAGGTACCGCAGACTGGTGGTGGGCTGCATCTTCATCATCTTCTTCGTCCTCCTCATCCTCACCATGGTCATATGGTGGCTCATCCTAGATATGTCTCCTTACCTTACATCCCTGGTGCCGATAGATAGATAGAAGGACTGTATATTCATGTATGGGCCATTTTGGGTCACTGCCACTGATGTGTGCTTTTCGATACTTACAACATATGCAACATAACATGCATATACCGTATGTGTGTCATGTTGATATGGAGTAACAGACTGAAAAGCAAAGAGGGAGCAATAACATTAAATATAGCTGCTGATAATATATTGTATATCTGTACTGTGTGAAGTGTTGGCAGTATTTCTTTCATTACATTCTACCAACTAAGCACAGTTCATATTAGGAAAACAGTGCATATATATTAGACACAATTTAAGTTACAAATGTCCTATAAATAAATCATTTCTGTGTCATGGATTATACATCAGTAATTTCAAAATAAAAAGTTCAGGCAGTCATAAAAGAGAGAGGTTTCAACAATACTTCAGTATACCATGCACAGTATGTATATGACATTTAATACATCATACCGTCGCTGTCGGACAGAAAAGTTGTATCTCCAAATCCGTTACTTTTCAGGAAATGAAAAAAACCCTGTGTATGTAAAATAATTCAACATCACATTTGCAAAGCTGGCATTGTGTCCTTATATATGGACACTTTACCTGCATGTGTCATTATGTTACTGATATTTTACCTCAATCAAATAAGGTTATGAGGTTTTGCTGACACTTTCAGGTTCTAATCGAGTTACAGGATTTAATCACAAGCTTAATGCTTATCATTGGTTAAATGTTTGTAAAACCCACAGACAGATGTAAAAGGTGATCAATGACATTGATTTATGAAGGAAAATAAAAATGACAAAATAGGGACATACGAGGTTTTTGCCCAACAGCAACGATATATTTATTTTTTGCATCCAGTGACAACATGTATATGAAGTTAAAGCTTTGATCATAACAATAAAATAAAGAAAACTCATTAAATCAACAGGACTGAACTGAGTTCCTCAGCTAACACCCCTGTAACAATACAATACTAACCTATTAACTACCACAGGGTAACAAACCAGGATGTGTTTGTTTGAGACATTTCAGTCATTTATTGATTCCAATCTAGGTTCAGCTTAGTTTCTTAATAGTTTACAAACCATTTCTGGCTAAATCATTTTGCTGCCATATGTGGAGTTGATAGTTAAGTAGCTTTATTTCCTCATCTCTTCCTCTGGTTGCTATGAGTCTGTCTGTGGCTTGAAGCTGTGTGTGTGTGTGTGTGTCAGGTGTCTGTGTGTGCCTCGTGCAGTGCCCATCTTCATTTGTGAATGCTTTTCATTTACACTTAAGAGATTGAACAGTTTGAGGAGAAGATCAGGAAGAAAAGAATCTGACTCAGAGAAATAGCCTGGTAATGTCAGGAAAAAGATTAGAGGTACATGCTCACATAGTGAACCAGCATTCAAACAGGCAACACTTATGTCCCAAACAATAAAGGAGGCAGGGGTTTTGTGAGATTCTGTGGTGCCATAACAGGCTAAATATTCCAATAGCCCAGTGGAAATGGGTCATGTTGGCGACGTATCACACCAGTACAATACTCCAGTGCACAAATTAAAAGCTCCTAATATCCAAATATACTCTCAGAAAAGCGAGTTTAAGATATCTTTAAATACTTTATGTATTAATGTGAGCTACATGTGATCTGCTGGCAACGTTTTATTTTTACTCCTTCAGTTGATCAAATTTGTCACGACAGCCTCCAATACAGTTCAGAGGGGCTCAGCTGAATCCTAGAAACTAAATTTAGAGTGATGCAAGTCGCTGCAGATTGTAACATCCAGCTTGGTCCCAAATCACAAACTCAAGGCAAAGCAGTATGGAAAAGCATAGGACACATATACCACAGGGAAATGTCTTAAAACATTCCAAACATTATGGTATAAAGAGTTTAATAGTAGCATATTCTCTAATTTAACACGTCCCCTTTTGCAATAACAAGGAAATATCCTCACAACCTTTACCTATTCAGTTATCTTATAGATTACATGATCAAATAACTCATAGAAATTGAATAATAGAAATTTAAGACAAGAATTACATTTAAATTCTCTGTATTTATCAATTTAGTATTCAAACTAGAAAGTCATATTTAGCTTATGTCATTGCTTCAATATGTATTTAGGCTTTATTCCATTTTAAATGTAATGTACAGAAGGTGCAAATTTTCAGTTGGCTTAATATTAATGCCATTTCATCTGATTCTGCTTTCAGATCTTGAGACCCGTTTACCAAGACAACCAGGGAACATTAGGTAAGACGTGTACAGTATGTCATGTTCATACTCATGCAACAGTGTGTTAAAGGCTATAGTGAACTCTTGGGCTTTTTGGTTAAAAGTCTTTATGATTTTGGACCCATATTAGGGGCATATATAGCAGTTTGATTGGTTGATTCATAACCAGTTGCACTTCTGAACCAAATTTGATGACTAACCAGACAAACGTTCATTATGCCAAGAACATGCAGATTTGGAGATGTTTAAAAAGTATATTTTGACATTTTTGGAAATATGTTTATTTGCTTTATTGTTGAGAGTTAGATGAGAATATTGATACCGCTCTTATTTCTGCTCATCTGTGATACCTTGTTTTTTTTCTCCACAGCAGCCAGGTTGTACCCCACACGGCAGGCCTCTGGTCCACAGTCCCACAATGGTGGCGCTTTTTCTGGAGGCGGTCTCTCCAGCTGTACTGGCTTCTTACGGCGATCTAACAATTCCAAGTCAACAAAGACGTTGTCTGCCTCCACTAACACTGGTATAACTAGCTACCAGCATCAGAATGCCAACTTTGCCAATTACCAGAACTGTACCATTGTCCGCTCACATACTCCACATGCCAATTATGGATTTGTGAAAGTGGCACCAAAGGTCCTGATCTTCCCCATTTTTGTTCAGGTAGGTCAATATGTCTGAATTGTGTGTGTGTTTTTACAGCTGTGATTTTATAGGTAGCATATCTTGATTTGCATAGATTCTTGATAGATTTTAGGGGAAACCAGTGCATAACAATCTTAACTACTGTGTTGAAATGGGTGCTGCTGATACAATTCTACTGTGTTTTTTTGTACAAATTAAGAAAGCAAGATATAATATGATAATTACTGATCTTCAGGAGAGCTGATAGACACTAGAGTTGGACACTACTGCAGGGCACCATGCGGTACAAGCTAATGGTCAGATATATACTGTACCATATGTAATTATGCAAAAGTTGGTATCATTCTTGATATGATGGTTTTCCTTAGCACATTTGTATCAAAAGGAAATAGGCATTTGAGATATGCTTAGGTTTCTGTCTGAGCGTGTCATGTTTTACAAGTCTTGGGGGTTTATTTTTATACATGACACATTTTAGAAATGGAATTTCTGACTTTAGGCTATAACACAGGAAACTGGAGAAATGGGAGAGATGCTAAAGTGAACCTAGGAGGTTAGTATTAACTGAACAATAGGGCTTTTCTTAAACTTCTTATACACAGAAAATGAAGGACTGTATTTATCAAATTAAAGGTGTTATTTTGGCTTGTACTGATCTGTGTGATCTGTTCAACAAGTTCAGCTGTGTGTAGAGAGCACTTTATTACATTATACAGTGTGTTCTTCATTGTATAATAATTAGACTGTTCATAGTTTTTTTTTTGAAGGTTGCACTAGCCCAAATTAGGAAGCAGAGGCAAGATATGCTAAATCATATGTCACTGCAACGTAGATGTTTTCATTTCTTTGTATGTTCAAACACAGTAGTTAAAATGTTGTGGAAATTGTGATTAACCCTATAAAACCATTTGTATCGTATTTGATACGCAAGTTTCTGAGCAAAATAAAAATGCCAAAAATGCCCCATGTATCAAATGTGATACAAAATAAATAAATAAATAAACAAAATAATATGGCACATTTATTCCTATATGCCTGGACTGTCTGTCTATGCATATATAGCAAATAAAAATCCTGAATCTTGAATTTTCTTTGGGATTTTGTTAAAAGGTTTAATAAACATCTCAGTTCCAAAAAATTTGAATGTTCTGGCTATTTTTGATGTGTCAGGCTGTACAGGGTTAAGTAACCAAAAAGATAATTGTGAGATAAGATAGTTGTTCAACAATATTTGCAGCCTCATTTCAAAGCCTGTTGGTATCTTGTGGTGTTTTTCCACTTACACTTAAAAAATGCAGGAACTGTGGTGGTACTTCCTGTTAATTCATATAGAAACATGCAACCCTGACCCTACTTCACACAATATGTTACACATACACACATTTTGAATGGGCCCTCTGTCATACCCTGGACTTGAGAGGAAGTCCCCTCCTCCCACGTTGCATTTCAAGTGTCAGTGTCTTGTCAAACTTAGACCACACATACCGCTTCACTGTCACAGCAACTCGCTTTCTGTCTTCATAGAAACTGTTTCAGTTGTTTTTTCCACAGTTTAAATAAGAAGACTTTTTTTTTTTAGCTGTTTATCTGATCGTTTGGATTTGGAAGCCAAAATGGATTTGGTACTGCAACATTTTTACTAATCAACAACAAATACAATATTATAGTTTGACCTTGAGAAATGCTGAACATATGTTAATGAATCTGTGAAGGTAGTAAAACAAGTTTATATGCATGTGCTTGTGGTCATTGATTAATGGCCGATTAAAGGTATCAGTTATCAGTGAATGAGCCTCAAAAGTAGGTCCTAATCTGTCTGTGTAACCTGTTGTTGTATGTCCAGCCTCTTGACCTGTGCAGCCGAACGCTCATCATATCCGAGGAGATGATTCTACATGAGAGCAAGCACCACTCTCTCAAGGTGAGTGCCATGGTGCAGTACTGAGGCTAATATGTGTATAGGGTGTAGCTTTGCTGTGATGTGAACATAATTTTAATACACATTTACAATTTCTGCATGTGTTTTATTTTGCTTTGTGGTTGTTCTGTGTAAAAAACGCTGCCTTGTAGCTCGTACTTCAGTTCAGCACAGGAACTTTGGCTGTTGTTGATCAAGAAACATCCAAAACTTTATGCACAACCAAAGAGAAGAAAAACCGAAAAAGCTGCAAAATGGTGCTGAGAAATTGTAGAATTGGGTTTTGTTGATGTGATGAAAGAGGAAATGCAGTTTTTCTTGGTACGTTTTAAGAGTTTTATAACTGGATCGATGGAGAAAGACTGAGGTGCTCTCCTCTTCAGATTGCAGGACACAAACAGACGAGTGGTAAACATTTTGTTCATTTGTCACAGCCAGTTATATGGTTTGTTTACTTGACCAAACAGGAAGTGACAGTGCATTGCCTGTGCACCTTACATCAAAATGTTTTAAAGTTATAAGTGTGTTCAAAGAGACAGAACAAACACAGAGCAAAACCCTGAGAGGAGACTGGAGAGAGGGGATGTCTGGTTATCTGAACATTTCTGATGAATTTATAGCTACTGTCAACTACAAGGTCTGCATGAGTCAAGGAAAATGAATAATTGATAGAAGTGGAGAGAAAGTCTGTTTTATATATCAAATGAAACTTTGGCTCCTTTGATATATACTGTGTTAATGATTCTTTCACAATATACCAAGCTCACCTTATAATAACACTCTTCATTATGAGATTTCTGGTAAAGTATATTATTAAAGTAAAAACTGTACATTTTTTAAACAAAAGTAAAGAGTCATTCTTTCAGATGTTTCATAAGTATTAACTTTTATTCTTTATCGAGTCTTTTAATTTTATAGGTGTCAAATAAGCACTTTTAAGTTTTTATATTCTTTGTTTTAACAATCTGTAAAGAAAATAAACACTTTACAACTGACCTAGTAGTAATTACTGATCATTACTGATCTAGTAATGTAGTGTCACTTATAATAACTAGACTCAGGAAATTAGACTGTATTTGACGTTAACATTAGCCATTTTAATCTACCCTTATTTTATTTGCATTGCCTTGATAATCATGCAGAAGAGTTGATTGCAGCTAAAAAGTATACATGGCTATATGAAGTTCAAACATCTATTTGAATGACTGAGTTGGATATGTATTCAAAGTGGAAGGTCATTAGAGTCAGTGTTATGAATGAGGGAATCCCATCTGACAGTCTGGACAGTATGTGGAAAAAGAAAAGAGTATTGTTGTACTGCGTTAAGCTCCCACCACAGTTCTGTGATTTACCCTGACAGATTATCTGTGCTGTGCAATGCACTAAAGTGCAGTGTCTGCTGCCATGGAAGGTAATTCTGGCCTGTCTCTGCGGTCAGTCATAAAACAAATATTTCACAGTCAATGTTTGTCAGGAGGGAGTTTCTCTCCACTGTGCCACTTTATACGTTCATGCTGTTTTTAATGATCTCTCTGTGTTATTCCAGCTTTTACTCTTTATTCCACCAGAGTGGTGCAAGTTTGCCCTGGAGACAAACACACTGAGTCTGTTGTTCAGATAAACACATACCACTTTCTTAAAAATGTCACAAATAATAAGCAGAACATTGCACAGCGAGTTTTGGCTAGATTATATGCATTTAATTTGAATTACTGCTGGGTTGCTTGTATATTTCCCATCATAGATCAGTGAAATCTTATAATTATACTGTATTGTTTGTATTAATCTGGTTCTGAAAAGTAACTTAACTAAAGTTATAATATGCCACTAATCCTATAAGCGGTATGGATAATGGATGGATGGATCTTCACACTTACTGTACAACAGAGGACTATACAGTAATTGTGTTCAAATAACATATAATACTATCAGTTGTAAAACAAGACCAGGTTGACTTAGGTATTCGCTTTATTTTTAGGTGACTGAACAGTTACCTAGACATTTTTAGCATTTATTAGTCTCAAGTAGAAAATTGGTGACTTTTTTTATTAACAACCTTTGTCTGTCTGCATATGTGTACATGCATTAGATATTTGTATTATGTACTGTAAGACTGCATGTTTGTCAGTGTAATAACTGCTTGCCTCTCATATGCTTTGTCTGTTCTTTACTCTTACCTACATCCTCTTAACACTCTCTTCCACCCATTCAAACCCATTCCACCCATGAGCATTCTTCACACACATGCACTCTAACCACGTACTGGCTACATCTGAAATGTGCTCTCTGCCATCTCACTCTTCAGAGGAAGCCATGAAAATACAACCATTGTCTGAAACAGTGTCCATCTACATGAACTACTCTGTATACGTGTTATGCAGGTTGTAAGAATGCACACATGCAGCAAATAGGCTTTTTTTGTCATCTATTTCCTTCTCTTCTTTCTTCATGCAGCTGGGTTGTCACAGCTGTCATCACACGTTACAAGGCCCCTGATCAGTAATCAGCCATAATTGTATGCAGTACCAAAGCTACCAAAGCAGAGAGACCTTTAATTAATTAACATTTTGTGTAAATAGCAGCCAAGTAACAAAGTATTATTACAGTTTCCTGGAGGCAATGTGAGTTTGAGGTACTTCTGCATGCAAACTTTCCTTGTGCTATAACTGAGAGAAGCATTTTTGTCCCAAGGAATTAAAATGGACTGGATGTACTGCTTCATAGTAATATCATTACAGTAATCTTTTTTCCCTGAAATTTTGGGCTGTTACAAACATGCCTGCATAAAATCTGACCTAGGAAAAACTTACAGGGATGTGAGACTATGAATAGTTGTCACTTCATGCTGACAATTTGATGAATTCTTAGTTTTTATAAACGGAGGGTAATATTTTGATTTATCATCAGGTGTGTGTCAAGTGTTGTGTCAGATTTGTCCGTTCATTAATAGCTGGTGAAAGAATGCAGATGAGATGTTTGAGTAAGTTAGTATACTAAAAAAGCACAATGAAGCAGAGTGAAGCACATGCAGCAGACTACAAAGCAAGACGTGGCTACGTGTTTGGCTTTATGTGTGAACTGCACTTCCTCTGCTAAGGCAAGAGGTAAGGGGGAGCTTTTATGGGGGTGTGATCTCTCACTGGAATTCAGATGTGTGATTGTGAATAAGTGGGTTTTATGGGGGGGGCAGCTGACCCAGGGCCCGCACTCACTAGGGGGCCCATAAAGGAGCCCATAAAATCACACCGTACTTTTTAAAAAACATTTTTAATTGTAATTAAAAAAAAAAACTATTTAAAACAGTCACTACGGTCTTCTATAAGGTCCCCTGTTTCTTATCTACCTCCTCTATCTCTGTTCCCCCAATTTTAGGTTACAGTGTTTGTCTACAACGACCTGATGCTGGTGACAAGAGAAGATGAGCCAGGCAGGTGTAATGTTCTTCAAAGTCCCCTGTACCTCAGCCATCTGCGGCTGCAGGATGGTATGTAAGCGGCAAACATCTGACACCAAACTGTGTGAATTCCTTGGTTTATCAAGCTATAACTATGTGTTAAATTGTAGCAGTGTTGAGTGCGTAGGTGTAGTGTTCACTGTTTGCTTTGTAATCTTGCAGACATGAGGGCACTTGAGTCACTGCTGTAATCAAAAGGTCAGATCTAATTTGAGACAACGTTATTTATTTCTGTTCAGTTCCTTAATTCATTGTTAGTCATTGTCAAGTAATGGAGAGACAACTCTGAAATATTATTCATGTTGTTTCGTCAACTCAAAGTCCAACAACAGCAAAATATCAGCCAGAGTTGCAGTCTCTAAATACCTCTCCAAACAACACCTCCAACTTTTCTGTATGTTACTATATTAACCGATGTTTGCCTGTTTGCAGTTAAACATAGAAAAAAAAACTGCCTGTAACACTTACACACACAAATTGCACAACTAGAAATAAACACACAGCACTGTGATTACAATGATATTTTCAGTTGAGGATATTTAGGGAAACACTGCCCAAGTTCCTGTTGCTTTGTCTTTTTATTTCACCTCGGTGTAAACAACCAGGTCCTCTGTCAATTTGGAGAGAATAGCTTGGCCACCAGGGCCACACAGAGCCCAGGCACCTAAAATAAGGAGGGCTCACCATAAATATCTGTGTTTAGAGTGGGCGGGGAAGTGAGCAAAGTTTGGAGTGATGCTTGGGGACAGAATAAGTGGAGAGGGGCTAAACTTAGACCCACGCTGTTGAAAATGTAGCAGTGTAAAAAGGTCAGGTGATTTCTATACTGAACCGGACTTAACAAAATAAGGATGTGTATAGTGACAGTAAATGCTGCTGGTGATGATCATTTTTTCAATACAATTAGCAATACTACTGCTACTACTACTACTAATAATAAGATGCTGTTATGAGCAATGGGTCTGAATCTTTTTTCAGTGGATAAAACACCCGACAGGTGTCAGTGTAGCCTCACATAGTCTGTCTTCCCAGACTGCACCATTGCTGGAGATGCATGGGACAGAACCCACTGTCATAGGTGAAAAGGTCACCTTTCAAACAATTAGAATATCCTAGGGCAGTACACAAAACTCACTGGGGCTTTTGCTAAATATTATGTTACCTGAAATTAGTGGTAATTTTAAGTCTCTTCACAAAAATGTAAAATAATTTTTTTAGTCTTTTTTTTAACTAAATGTCAGAATTCAGCCATACCTGTTTTCACTGTTATTTGTTGCAGCTTCTTGTTTAATTTGTAGTAACAATCTTATATGTATTTAGTCCATAATTCTTAGTCTGTCTTTTTGGGGTTAGCTAGCATTACTGGTGGAAAATTAAATGCACATTGTTGATGAAAATGTATCTGTTTCATAAAAGTTTCTTGTTTTCATAGGTTACTTTTTGTTTTCATCTGATCTTTGTCACAGGCAGCTTGTGAAAATATCAGTAGGTTTTCGTAACATTTCAGAATCAAAGTCGGCTTTATTGCCAAGTATGTTGAGCATACAAGGAACTCGTCACTGGCAGAGAGGCTCTCAGTGCATTTTAGGCTGCAGACAATAGAATAGTGCAATCATTGCAGGGGAAGTCTGCCTTTCTGATGATGGTGCTGATGTTGAATGTCCATCTCAGGTCCTGGGAGATTGTGGAGCCCAGGAACTTAAAGAATGGTCAGTTCCAGGTTGTTGTAACCACAAAACAGGGTTAAACTTTCTGTCTGTAGGCTGATTCGTCAGCATTTCGTAAACTGGTGATCGTTGTGTCACCTGCAAACTCAGGAATCTAACAGAGGGGTCCCCTGAGGTGCAGTCGTTGGAGTATAGGGAGAATACCAGCAGTAAGGGCACACATCCCTGGGGGTGCCCGTGCAGATTGTCTGGGTGCTGGATGTGGTTTTCCCCAGCCTCACCTGTTGGCTCCTGTCTGTCAAAAAGCTGGAGATCCACTGACAGGTGTGGACAGGCACATTGAGCTGAATGAGTTTGGAGTGGAGGATGACTGGGATGATGGTCCACAAAGAGAACCCATGCATAGGGGAGTCAGGATTTTGCAGGATGTAATGCAGTGGCATGTTGTCATCCAGTGGGCCTGTGATGTCCTTCAGTCTCTCAAAACACTTTATGACCACACATGTCATGGCGACAGGTCAATAGTCAGAGTCTGTAGCCATCTATACTACTTTTGCAAGTTACAAGGTTTTGTTAAAGTTCAGCATCATAATCATATAAGTTGTGAGCATTTCTTCTGGGTCAGGCTTGAGACACTGTGGCTGCTTACTGACCTTTTGCTTAATTAGAATCAGCAAATGTCAGACGCTGAATAGGGTCATTAATTGCAGCTATACTTTACATTAGGATATGAAAAACACAGATTTTGGGGTCCAAGGATGACAGTAAAAAAAATGTTTTAACTGGCTACAACACAAAGCTTTACTAATCCAAACTGCAGTGCCCTGATGCAGAGTCTCCTGCACAGCTCTGTGCTCCCCACAGACACTGCTGGTTTTGTCTGGGACACTTCTGACCTCCACCCTTCACCTAAACAATCAGAGATCACCAGGGTGGGGATTCAGTGGGATTTGCGTGTCTCTGTGTGTGTGTGTTTCATGAAAGGGCACACACAGACACACATCTCCACCCTGCTGCCTGTCATTGTTATTTCACTTCAGCAGCGTCACTCAGGAAAGAGGCACCGGGGGATTGTGTTTGTTTCAGCAAGGGTGTGTTTGACGTGTGTGTGTGTCTGTGCGTGCATGATGACACAGTATAAGTTCAATACAGGGGCTTTCCTGTGTTCCTGTCACCCCGGTACTAGGCAGAGAAGCGTGAGAAACTCTGAACAAAGTATTAAACACATAAAACTAAAATTATCACATCAGTCCAAGCCTTATCAACGTACCAAACAATACCCCATCTACCTGGCTCTTACATTTACATGATATAAAATCTCTGGCAGTTCCTGCACCAAAGTGGCAACTTAGCAAGAGAATAATGTAGTATATGCTTACAACTGTAAGAAGCTTAGGCTTTGGGTATTTATTCTTCAGTGGATTAAGGAGAAAGATATGAGTGACAGAGATGTCCTAAAATCACTAAACCTGGCCTGGGAATGCCTTGGGGTCACCCAGGAGGTAATGGAGAATGCTGCTGGTGGATGTCCTTCCACACTTACCGATCCAATGAACCAACCCCATATCAGTGGTTGACGATGTTTGGATGGGTTGTGAGCATTTTCATGACCTATAGAAAACACTGCCATTCTTTAAGTTAAGTATGAGAGTTACTGGGTTTTCACCTGATTATCCTGTATAACAGCATTCTTTTGTAAATCACAAACATATCCAATAGTGACCTCTGCTGTTGGTTATGAAAAGAAACATTTTTTTCTGAAATTTGTACAGTTCAGCACTTCACATGGGCTGTGCTGTCCTCATCACCCCGTCACCCAAAACTTTCAAAGATGAATTTGGTCTTTGTTCAACACTATGGGCAATGTCAGTTTAGAGTCTGTGTAAAATATAGAAACAAGAGGCTCCTGTCAGTCTTTGGGGTGAAAACGTTCCCAATAGGCTCAACATGCTCTGGGCTGAGTCTGGATTTATTTACTGAAGGAAGGATGATGATCTTGATTTATAGATATTTTTACATACATATTTTAAGACATAAAATACTCTAAATAATAATTTGTGTGATGTGAAAAAAGTTTAGCTACATTCTTAAAAATATCAAAATTGCATATACTTCTTTTATCTCATTGAAAAATTCAGAATATATATGTAATCACTGGATATAAGATGTCTCATAATTCAATGAAAAATTAATTCACAGTGTGTGCGAACTGGAAATTTTAAGATTCATATTGGAGTGACATGCTGACATGCAGAAATCTGAAATCACACTGAAATCATTCCTCCTTTCCATACTGGGTGTAATGCAATTTTTACAGTATTTTTTTTAATCACAAAAAGTCACCAAATCAAGGTGTCAGTTAAGTAATAAAATGCTTTTAAATGTGATTGCTACTTATTAAGTTGTGAACATTTAATACTATAAAGAAATAAGCTTTGAATCCAAGTTTTCAGCAACTTTACCATCCTGCCTGCAGTGGGACAGCGTTTCATGAGCACAGAATGATAAATGCTGTTTTTGTACCAACAACATATTTAATAATTTAAAGTCTCACCTGAGGGTCAAGCTGCTCCTTACTGTGATCTTGAATATTAGAAACATTGCCAGTGTTGGTTTATGTGTACGCTTACTTATAACAATATAGTAAACATCACCTCATTGTGTAGATTATGAAAGTGTGTGTGTGTGTGTGTGTGTGTTGAGTGTGTGTGCATGCGTGCGGGTAGGGGTGGGGGTCACTCCATTAAAACCATTTGTCCTGACTCCATAGTCACAAGCTTGCCTGACAGAGCACTTCTTCAGTGAGTTATGGGTGTCTATAAGGTTGAACAACGGTAAAAGCTTTCCATCGATAAAAGTGTTTTGGTGAAATCATCAGAAATCAAAGATGCTGTTTTGTGCACGCAAATGAATGAACGAAGGGAGTGAGTGAAAGTGAAACAGAGGACAGTTTGGTTAGTTGGCAGAAACATGTAATGTAGAAAGAATTAAAATGAATCTCTTTTTAAATGTTTTACAGATTATGCTGAAGAACTGAGATTCTACCTTATTCACATGACTGAGGTAAGAGAAAAGACTGTGTTTGTAAAAAAAAAAAATGGAGAAAGAGGGAAACGAAGGCTCTAATGTGTAGCAGCCTTGTCTGTGAGCCAGAGGGGCAATTGGCTCTGGTGGAAATCACATTACTTTGAAGACATGAGGATTAGCAGAAAGGTCTAATGAAAACGCTTTTTCTCTGTGTCTCTTTCTCAGATTTAACTCCATGTCAGACTTGTCCTTGCCAGTAACACAGTATGCATTTGCTTTTGATTTTTTTATATATATATCACAACAGGAAACGCTGAGGTGTTTTATGAATTCACATGTAGCATTAGGTAACTCATTGTGTCTGCACTATGTTGACACAAGTATGACATTCAACCATGTGGCAGTGCTGGGTATAAACCTACAACCGCCCCTTTTTATGTGGCAGTGACCCCTTCTTTCCTCTGCTGCACCACCTCTCTGGCTGTTTTAAAATGAAAGAGAAAAGCACAATTATTAATAATTAATTGCAGTGTTCTCCACTTATTCAACTAACATTGTTTCAGCAGTATACAAATATATGGCCTCAGCAGGA